AAGCAATCAATAATATCGTAATATCAAACACATGAAAAGAAAGCATGGATTGGATGTTTAATGCGGGCGTAATATCTATCGTGTTATATAGGAATTTTTAAGTGTTGTATAATTTTACTATTAAGATGATAGTCATGCAATTCTATGCGAATTTTATAAATCTAGCATATAATGAAATGTGATTTCATGAGATTTATAATCTAAAATTTTAAGGTGTGATGTTAGCATAACTATATCCGAGATTTCGCGGCGAACGAGCGATGAATGGGATTTACCTCGTGAAATAACTCTTGCAGCGTCAATGCACTTGTCAAAAGAACTGTCAATTTTGAAAACAGCGGCGACTAAAGAAAAAAAAGAGAATTCTACCCCGCAATATTTATCGGACTCGTGACGTGAAGATAATAAGATCTTCCGATTGCTTCTAACTGCCATGTGCAAAACATGAATTTTGGAAACAACTGAAAATGGAAAAAAATCACCATATTGTTCATATTACAATTCTAGTCTGAAAGTGATCAAAGTGAGATTTCAAGTACGTAAGTATGTACATAGTACTTGCGTGGATTTGGGTCAATGCCTCCGATTGTCCTAAAAAAAATCTGTCAATCATACATTAAGAATACAATAATTGTTGGAAAAATTCAATGCCTAAAACCGTTGGGGGGATTTAAATGTAAGAATTATATCGTAAGAGATAATAATGATAACAAAAAATACATGTGCATAAACTGTGAATGGTTGACGTGGCAAAATTTAACGCCATGATGCAGTTCTATGATTTCTCTCAAATTTTGGTGGTTGGAATTGATTCGGGGAATGTTCTATGTAACGTCACAAGGGAGTGACACTTGTGTAAGTAGTAGGAACAATAGGCGGGAAAGTTTTATTAATTACCGCAAGGATGCCACCCTGCAATTCCTCGTGAACTTGTCCTTATATACAAGATCAATGAAACGGGTTTATCTAAAAAAAGATCTTAAGTTTACAAATCAACAATGCAGTAATGTTTTTTTTCTTCAAGACAATGATTCTATAAATTCCTTGACATACGTGGAAGAATTCAATGAACTTTTTTCTTGAATTCGATGCAAACCTGATTGTAATATACTTTTACGGTAATTTTTGATTGAATTCGCCACCGAAATTCTGAATAATCTTTTTTTTTTTCTATGTAGAATGAAAAAAAAAATTTTTTTTTGATTTTTTTTTTTTTTTTTTTTTTTTTTACTATTATATATAGAAAGTTAAATATTTTATATAATAATATATATATATATATATATATATATCGTATATCATTTTACTTCAAAGGTGGCAAAGTATTTAATTGAATTGATGGATTTTTTGGATTGTTAATTCTCATGTGGCAATTCCTTCATAATACATCGAGACAATCATTAAATCTGTTAATCTTAGTTTCTTAACGCCACAACGCCGGCCTCATAATTTTCTAACAGATTTTTAACGGCCGAACATTATATTCTTCTGGTGTGTTAATGCTTATTCATGCGGTGTGACGGTCAACTATCCGATCCAAATTTCTATTATTATTGAATGAATCCCAAAATAGGCCTTGAACTATACACACCGAGATAATTCCTCTCCGAGAAACGCCTATATTTTGTGTGGGGAAGAAGCTAATTTTTTTGAAGCCTTCACATCTCTACTGGGAAAAAGCATAAATACTCCAATATGCCGTTTACCTCACATATTCTTAGTTCATTTGCAACCATAAAAAGCTTTCGGGCAAATTGAACGTTAAAAAAGTTAAAAAAATTTTTCTGTATGATGGGCGAACATTATAAAACTGGTTTCCATGTTAATAGCTTGAAAAATCAGTCACGCACTTGCGTCTTCATAGATTCTAGCGATCCTACATTACCAAATCAGGTAATCAACGATGCAAGACCATTCATAAAATTACCTTTCCCTCCAACGATCGATCCGCGTGATTTAATTACCGTCCTTCCTGATGGTCGTGTTCCTACCCGTGCTCCCAATGCATTTATCATATATCGTCGTGCTTTTATTGAAGCTGCGAGAGCCGAAGGTTATAATTTTCCGATGAATGTAATTTCATCAATGACGTCACAATCATGGGAACAAGAACCTCAATTTGTTAAAAATGAATATCGAAGGCTTGGTAAAGAAGCTTATAACAGACGTAATGAGATGTGCCCTGATTCAAATCAACGTAGAAAAAGAGAAAAATGGAATCTAGTCTCTTTTAATAAAAAAAAATCAACTGCTCGAAAAATCAAAAAATCGATTCAAAAATCACCAAAGAAACCATTGGATTTTAAAAATCAGAATCAACCTTCAGAATCTGCCACTGATTTCAACTCTGAATTTACTCAAAAAATGAATGATGATTCTTTGGCAATGTGTGATGATTATTATGAAGATGAACATTTTGATTGTTGTGAACTTTATCAAAGTCCTGAACAAAGCTCCGAAAAAAATTCTGAGCAAAGTTCTGAACAAAGCTTTGGACAGAGCTTTGAACGGAGCCCTGAACAGAGCCCTGCACAGAGTCCTAAACAGAGTCCTGAACAGAGCCCTGAACAGAGTCCCAAACAAAGCCCTGAACGGAGCCCTAAACAAAACATTGAACAGAGCCATGAACAAAATCCTAAACAGAGCTTCGAACAGGAATCTAAAAATTCGGATGAAAGTTCTCCAATCATTAGCAACGAACCTGGCTTTCATTATGATTACTCATACTTTTCCGATGGTACTATCGAAGAATCACCCCTCCAAACACCAGTTCGTGAAACTTTTGAACATCATTTTGAATCTGTACCTTCATTTGACAATAACATTTACACAATTTCGAGCGATCAAAATGGACTTGAAGAAATCCATAAATATAACGTTAACAATCAAATATCTTCAAATCCACTTGGAATTCATGAGAATTTATTCACAACAGAGGCAGATATGTTTGTATTATCTAACTCAAATGAACTGCCTCTTATATTTGATAATGTTACGACATTATATCAAGGCGATCTGAGAATTGATTTACCTTGCGGAGTGGATTTTGCAAGTCTTTATTATTACTAGATGACAAAAAACAAAAAAAAAAAAAAAACCTATATATTGAACTTTTGTACATATATACATATACATTTCATTATCTTATCCACATATATACATATATATGTAAAAAAAAAAATTGTTTTTTGAGACAATTTGGTTTCATTTTTTTTCTATTTATACGTACTTTTAGGAATATTTGACGAACAATTGCCTGATTCATATACTTATCCTTTTTTTTCGAGTCATTTCTTATTGATCCCTTATTGATCCCCCCCTCCCACTCCCACTCCCACTCCCACTCCCCTCCACTTTCTTTGTGAACATTTAATACGTATAGCCACCATAATTTGTGCTATTGGTTATTATTAGTTCACATGATCAGATATAATGAAAAAATAGCGATGTTTTTTTTTGTTTTTTTTTTTTGTTTTTTTTTTTCTCCTAAGTTTTTATTTGGTTAGGCGGGTTAAAAAAAAAAAATTATGAATCGTTATTCATAATTATATGAAATAGTTATAGTTAACGTTAAGCAATTATGTAAATTTAAGGTTTAAGTTATACAGTATTATATAATATATATATATATGATAAAACTTCTACGTAAGATTTAACTTATAAAATAAATTATGATACGCACGTACATAAAACTATTATCATTTACAGTATATATTTAATATTTTTTTTTTCGCGTTCTAAAAATGGATTTTTTATCGTGGCGTAGTATTCCTTTTTTACTTTATACAATCATTTCTTCATGTGATGCAC